ACAGACAATGTTGAAGATACAGTGTTTAAAAATAACTTTATTGCAAATGAAACTTTATTGTACCATAAATAGTTATATATAATTATTATGTATTATGTATTTCCGAGAAATGACAACCACCATAAATTGTTAACAAAGTTAAATACAAGGAAATCTTGTGCAGAAAATGAAAAAAACAAACTACATCATTGCATTTATTTAATGGCCAGATTTTATCAGGGCTTTGATGTTGGAATGGTTTCTGCCTTTAGATTGATGTATTCAGATGGGTTTTTTTTCCACTAGAACCATTTTAGTGCAGGTATGTCACTAATAAAATAAAGGCTTTTAAGGCCATATTGTTTTATTTGCTCCTTCACCATTTTTTTGGAAAAATGAAATAGAAAATTTAAAGTTGGCTAACCAGCACTGTATAAAAGCCAGATCTGACTGCATGGATAAGGTGCAGCACCTTCAGATTAGCTCAATAGGCAGAGCGTTGGACTGTGATTTGAGCGATCTGGGTTCGATTCCCACTGTACCTCTGCTCTGGTATGTATAGAAGTTACCAGTTCCTTACGGAAGTGAAAGCAACTAGTACTGTTAAACTGCTTGACAGACTGCATAGGAATGCTGCGGTGGCAGGACTGTGCTCCAATTCAATGTGGCTTACTGCCGTGATCTGGAATGAAAACTACCAACACTACCTTCACAAGGGTGAGGTACAGCTCTGGTCTGGCTATTATAATATTGGTGACTGGTTGAGAACTGAGAAACTCTCAAATTATCAATGCCCAGCAATAACTCATGTATATATACACAAATTTATTTACTGAACCCCATTAAAATGTAGAGATATAAACATCTGTGAAGAATAAATTCTGCTTCATCTTCAAAATGTTAAAATGTTTTATAAAAGACATTCCATGATAACTGAATCTTCAATAAAAAGTCCATTAAGGTGTATTTCCTCTTATCATTTTAATGTTATTTGAATGTTTGAAGCTAGTAAAACTGCAATAAAGAATGCACAATTAAGATTATAAACATTGGAATTCCAAGAAGTGATTTTAACTCTAACCACACTAAATATCATAAGTGGGCTTGTCCATCTCTTATTCTGGACCAAACCATTTGTCATTTTAAGGGAAAATTCCAAAATATGTACTGACTGAATATAGCAAACAATGCAGATCGTTATAAGGCTCATGAATCATTTTTGGGTTACAGGGAATAAGTGGCATTATGGCTGAGTGATTAACTCATCAGACTTGTAATCTTAGGAGTCAGGACTGCTGGCTGCATGGGTTCAAACCCCAGTTAGGGGCGAGGGGTTGTTCCTCTGTGCAAGGAACTTTACACTCATTGCTAAGTAGTGGATGGTTTCAGGAATAGCTTAGAGAGCTGGTAGTGTGTTGATCTTTCTACACAGTCAAACGGAAATAAATTCTGTCTAAACTATATATAAAAATTTAGCTTATTTTAATTATGAGCATGATATATGTTGTTAGAGCTGTATAAATGGCAACCACAGGACAAAAAAAGTCATCCTGACCATGATATGACGGTCAAAGTTTAAGGGACACTATGACCTTTATCAGTACATTGTATGTATTAATATCAAAGGGGAGACCCTTCAGGAATGAGATTTGCCATAGATGAAACATAGCATGAAAATTAACAGAAGTAATACACTAGTATCACATCATCTCAACTGTTTACATCTTCTATGATTGTGTTGTAATTGATTTTGCATGTAATGCCAGGTTTAATTATGTTACATGATTTCCTCCGAAATATTCTTTTGACATGTTAAATTATCAGGGAAACAGAATTTTGTCTGGTAATTTACTGTGGATTTTTGTTGGGAATAAATGCTGTAATTTCAATATTAAGAATTAATGAAAGAAGAAGAAAATAAATGAGAGCCTGTTTAATAAGATATCTCCTGTATATATACCTTAATACAGAGACTACCTGTATATAGCAGCCAAGTCTTTGAAAAAGGAAAAGAATGAATTTTAATAGTTGGGTGCTATCTCAGATAATTGCCCTTAAAATTTTATTGAAAAGAATGAAATTTATTAGTTATGTGCTGTCTCTTTTCCCTGTCAACTTTACTTTTGTTAGTATAATTGATTTAATTGGTAAAATTGAAAACTTTATGCTAAACTTTTTTGATTTGGCTGGCTTTTGGGGTATTGCCTTTATTTGGAAGTAGTATTCGGTTAAACAATATATACTTCTTCCATATTTTCAAACAAAATTTCAATCCAGGATTGAGTAGAAAGCATAAAGCTTATGAAACTCTCTGGAAGTATTCTTTAATAGTGTAAAATTTTGGTAACCATTAGAAATACATTGATAAATACCAACGTCTGTTGTTGTTGTTATCATTCTGATTTTTTCCACAACAAATCATGCAAAATGAATAAGATTAATATTCCCATAGATCGGTCTGCAGATCTTAAGGACACTGTGACCTTGTCATAGTTTCATACTCTTGTGTAATAACCTTGGAGTAATATTCTCAAGGAAAAACACAGATGTAACATATTATTATCTTATCAATGATATATCCCCCCAATAATCATGTGGTAATTGATTTTGCATGTAAAGCCGGGTCACGATTAGGATACATTGGTTTTTGGTACAACTTTCTCATGAAAAACATGACAGATTCACAGTCTGCTATGATATTGGCATGAACTCATTAAATTCACTGCCCGGCTGCCATTTGCTCAAAGTGACATTTTTAAAAGGACTGAATGTCATCAAAAATGAGGTATAATCCCAAACAAACAAGAAAAAAAACACTTTAAGACTCTAACATTCTTGCTGCAAATTGTCTGGCAGTTGTAAAGAAATCCAAAGAAAGCCTTATCATAGTGTCGGTGTAAGAAGGGTAAAAAATGCATGCTAATCAAATTATTGTTAGTTTAAAATTGTTAGGGGTGTATGACTAAAGATCACTCCAACTAACAGGCACAGAATGTTCACTGACCAATGAAAATCCTGAGATTTGATACAGAGCACAGATTAAATAATATTGAGGCCATTTTGTGCTTTTTACCAATCTAAATTGAAATCACAGGACATGGATACTCAACATGGTAAAACAAGTTGACAGTTGCCATTTTTCTTCTTTATGGGGTGCTATTTTTGGTGTGCACCATTTCCGTTTTAGTGTCTGTAAATCTACAGGTACTGCTGGCAGAAAGTATCACCTGCTGCAAGATATTATTAAAATGTTGGAGTAGAACAGCTGTTGTAGCAATATATGAATGGGATTTATGATCTAAGAAAAGTTTGCATTTTTCATGTAACAGAAGGTGTAGGCCACCTGCTCTGCAGAATGTTCTTAGAAATAGGTTTAAAGTAGATATGCTGAAATAAAGATGAAAAATTGCTCATTATCACACTTCTCAGGTAAAGATAAGTGGAATACATTATGTCAGAAATTGCAATAATTTTCTGAGCCATATTGCATTTTAATACATATTTTATTTTCAATTAGTGCTCGCCAATTTTTTTAAGCCAATCACCGACGAGGATTTTTCAAATTTTCAGGTTACAAATCTTAATAGAACAGATTTTATATAAACTGGACGTTTTATATTAATAAAACGCAAGTCTGAGCCATATTGCATATGTTCTTGTATAAGCTACAGTCGCTTTAGCTCCGCTCCTTTTATTTTCAAGTAGATCTTTCATTATATTTGGAAGAATGTTCATTTGTATATTTAAGGTTGGATCATAAAATTAACTAATTGCAGAACTGTGTTCTGAGGTTCTCAGGGCTCAAGTCCCGGTCAGACTGCACAATTTTTCTCACCCTATGACATTCACATACATATATTTCAATACTATAGACTCAAAATTGTTATGCATTTTATAACTCATTTTATAAAACGTATTAGAATACTGTTGCATTTAACAACACAAACTCCTTTTCAAAATTTGAAGAAAAAAAGTTTGTTCTTTGCTGTTGTTTTTCCCCCTAAAATTTTGCAAGCTGCAATAAATTTTCAAGATAAAAAATTCAAAATGTTAAAGCTATCTTTATGGTGAACTAGCTAGTAATGGCTTTATTGCTGACATATGAAATTTTTATGATTTATTTCAAAATAATCTAGACTTTTGAAAAAAAAAAAATTTTTAAAGGAAAAAGTTATGATTCATCTAAACTAATAAATAATTATGTTCCTTAAAAAAGCTCACTTTAGTAAACAACCTCTCCTCTATTATATTTACTAATATATTCATTTAATTATATTTTAATGGTTAATTTGCATTTTAAGTGATATAATTTATGTTATAAAAAATGTTTTTTTAATAAATGAAAGAGATAATTAGGGTAAAAAAAAACTTATTTTAGATAATAATAAATGAGTATGAATAATTATAAGTTTTACATTGCTCCAAATAATTTTTGATAGCCTCTATGAAAAATAATTTTATGAAGTTTAATTCTCCTCAAAGTCACATTATGCCTCAAAAACAAATAAATTTATACTTTTAAAAAAAAACCCGGCAAACATGAATTTCATAATGTTTAAATAATGGTTTAAGAGAATGTTAGATGCTTGTTACCTGAAGAAAGTGGCGATAAATGTGAAATAGTTTGTCATTAAAGTAACTGATGTATACAAAGTAGTATTTCAACTTCCAAACAAAATACTAATTCACTATAACAGTTTTACTGTAATTAATGCCAAAAAAGCAAGAGATGAAAAAGATTGTTGATCTTATTGGCAAATGAGTAACATTTTGGATACTATAAAAGTACACCAAAATCAAAAAGCTTTTGAGAGATAAGAATAAAAGCATTTCTGTGGCATAATGGGCCTTTAAATCTTATCTTACTATGGTATATGTAATGAATACACTTTTACATCTTTCATTAAGATCAAGACCATTCATCTTTTTTTAGGAAAAATTTCATACTAAGTATTGAATGAACAAATAGTTCAGACCATGATCTGAAGCGGGTTGCATGGGTTGATTCAGTCACAGCCAGCATGCCGAAAGTTAAAGTGGCTGACTGTTAGATTTTATATAAAATGTCATTCATTATTACCAAAAATCCATAATTTGCAACAGTGGCTGTCTGCACTACATTTGCCATTTTAACAATGATGTGTCCTTGGTTTTAAAAAACACATTTTGTTGAATTTTCCAGGATGCCTTTTCTAAGATGAAGGATTCAAATTACAAGTTATCATTATTATTTCTAATAATATAAAAGTACCATTGGAATATGAAATACATGTTTATCTAAATATTGCATAAAATACACACATTGTTGATGATTTGTATAGTAAACTTTTTAAATACATGATTGTATACAATATATTTATATATATATTATTAATATTTTCAGGTTACCGGTTTTTCAAGGCGGTGATGTTTCTAACCGGATTCCTGTTCGGTTCTGTACTAGTCTACATGATCTGTCTCGAAGAAAAGACGTTTACTCCGCTCATAAATGCCGGAATTTCATTAGGTGCCGGAATTTTATGTGGTCTTCTCACAATGTTCGTGCAATATATAGGGCTCTTTATGACCGGGTTCAATTTCGGCATTTCCATAGCAACGGGAATTCTAATCGTCATTGAACAAATTTATCATCTCGAAATAATATGGATTCCGATCGGGATATTGGTGGCGATCGGTGTAATATTTGCTCTATTGACGCTAAAATTCCAAAAATCGGGAACAATTCTCGGAACAAGTTTGTTTGGAGGACTTTTAATGATCTCATGTATAGACTATTTCATCGAACAATTTCTTTTGATGATGTACATGTGGGAAAGGATTAAAGCGGATGACTCGCCATCATTGTGCTGGTTTTCGTGGATCATACTCGGCTGCTGGCCGTTCTGTTTTCTGGTCGGATCGGTCACTCAGTGGAAAATTACTGGACAAGGGTTTAGTCACAAACAGGGTAAGTTTTTTATTATAATTATGCAGTTTTGTTAGTTTATACAAACTTGTTTTAGTTTAATTGTGTTGGAAGCTATTGGCTTATTGAAACACTCTCAAATCCGTTCCTGGAACTAAGCAATGAATGCAAGGTTTCTTGCTCAAGGAAACAACAGCTGGTCCCTGACAGGGTTTGAACCGACGCGGTCAGCAATCCTTAGATTACTAGTCCAATGCATTAACCACTTGGCCAAGCTTCCACTTTCAAGTAGTTTTGTTGAGCAGCATAGGTAGGGAAACTGTACACTCATTGTTCAGTACTGGTTTGATTCAGGAGTGTTTCTATTAGCTCTAAGCTTTCTACACAATCAAACTAAAATAAATTCTTTTTATTACATGCTTTTCGGTGGTTTATAGAAATATATCAGTGATTTAAAACTGGTAATTTCACTGTTTGAAACAGTGAAATTACCACTTTGATAATTTCACTGTTTTGAATTTAAGCCCCTTACGTTGTTTCAGTGAAATACCAGCGTGCACAGAACTGGGTACCAACTTAATGATGTGACGTCATAAATGACGTCACATTATTATTTGGCGCGCTTTTCATTCAGTATTAGGTTTAATGTCTTTTTAAAACGTTTCTTTGCATATAATAAAAAGAAAATTTGTTTAGTTTAGTGTAAGATCGAAATATATTTCACCTTGTGAACACCAAAAGTTCATATTTCACTCGTGGCTGCGCCACTCGTGAAATATACCTTTTGGTGCTCACTCGGTGAAATATATTCCGATCTTACACTGAACTAAACAAATATCCTCTATATAAACCAAATATTGCTTTTCTTAAAAAAATTGTGAGATTTAAGAATTTTTTCTGAGTCAGCTACACACTCTGCCTGGTGTTTTGACTCATGGCTTTCAGTAACAAGATAAATAGCTCCTGACTCATTTGATATTTATTTATCATATTCCAATCTTAATCTATGGTGTTATGATAAGAGCTGAATGCATTTTGCTATACATTTTTCTATCTTTTCCCTCAATTTATGACCAGTGTAAAGTTAGGCCAGCCTGAGCATCCATGTCCTCTAACCAGATTCTGTTCTGATCTCTGCTTTATGTCCATGGTATTTTTCTAGATTTAAATATATGTACATACCATTTGGTTCCACAAGTCTCATTTATTACAAAATTTGTAGGATAAATGTTTTTGGGCAAGGGGGACCTTATCCCAACAAACAGTTTGAAAAAAGGTATTATTTAAGCACAACTTACCAAAGATTTAATGAATTTGTTCGATTAGGTTTAATAATTAGTTGGTTTAAATAGCAACTCTTTGGTTTAATAAGTAATCTTTGGTTTGATAAGTAACTCAATAATTTTTTTATTTAAATAAGTGAACTGTTGGTTTTATAAGCAACCCATTGGTTTAAATTACCCTTTGAATTTAACAAAATAACCTGTTGGTTGAAGACTTCAATACAAGACTACAGGAGTAAGCTCCCTTGGTTAAATTTATATTCCTGTACTTATATGCATATTGTATATACCACTAAGATTGTTATCTGCATTAAAACTGATGAATGATTTGTAATAATAACCTAGGTGTTTTTGATTGTCTCTACTGATAAATATGGTTAACATTTATATAGATTTTATGTCTTGTCTAGTCTGGTAATTTACTGTTAACCTAATAATACATACAACGTATTGTATGACAGCTGTCCGTGTTTGATTTATAGATATACAATTATAAAACATCTGATATATGGGTTTATTAAAACAATGAAACAGTCTATTATTTTGTGGTTATTAGTGTAAGCAGGTAGTGATTACTTTTTTTTTGTAAATTGTATTTTGAATAGCCCGATGGGGTCCGAACCTCAATTTAGCCATTGCGGTCAGTTTAGAGTCATGCCAGCCCGCTTATCAAAGCAGTCTGACCAGACTCAAAGCTGTTGGTGGTCCAGTTTTTGTATTTTGATGTTTAAATCTCTTGATTAAACATTTGGACTAATGGATTCTTAAAATCTGAAGCATTAGAGAAATCTATTACACAAATTCTTTGGGTTTAGTGTTTAATACCCTGTAAATGTTTCACATCAAAATAAGATGTGTTATCATATATTGTCTCTTTTTTGAGAAGACATTACTATAATTTTTTTTCAAGAAGACAGTCAGAGTTTCTTTCTATTTAATGTTATATTTAATGAAAATTTGCATATTTTTGCTTTAATGGATTTCTAACCATCTGTTGGGTGTCATTGTGCAAATATTTCAAGGAAAGGTGTAAAATATTATATATATATATTTACCTATAGCTATATCTATTTCCTACCATGCCCAGTGAGTGATAGTTATAAATATCTCACTTCAGTTTTGTTGTTATCATTATTATTATAATTTAAATGTTATCACAGTGCTACAGAACAGACGAACTGAGACAGTAACTATAAAGAGGACACGACCCAAAGAGAAACCTAAGGAGAACCCGCACCAGTCACGATACCGGCATCTGTACCAGGTCCGACGTGTCAACGGAGACGTCATTTCACAGGTATACTTACTTTATGTCATATACTTATATACTGGTTAACTGCACCAGGGCAGTGGCAGTTTTAGTTCTTTCAGTTTCTTTTAAAGTTATGTTATAATGAATTTATCATACAACAAATTCCTTTTTTTTTAAGAGGAAAACATGAATTTCTTTCATAAATTCACAGCGTATAAAGTTTACATAAATGTCACCATTATCCAATGAAAAGCGATGTTATAAACATGCAGTATTATTATCACACAGTATATCAAAACTGTACATTACAAAGCTACAGGAGACAAAAGACCTTGCATGCTGCTCTGTGCATTATTTCAGTCACAAGTAAACAGTCCTTTGATCCAGTGACCTACTGTAGCTAGATATAGTACATCCTAATTATTACCTCTGTGAATCAGAGATGCTTTAAAGATTGCTGAGTAAGCAAATATATATATATAGGATGATAAACCATTTTCGCTGGTAAATAGTATTTATAAATAACTGGTTTCAGTAATTCTATATATAGAAAATTAAACGAAAATAGAAGTTATAAGTAACAAGCTATAATAATTTGATACAAGGGAAATTTATGGATATTGTATGTTAAAGGGAAGCTATGGCCTTAAATGGTTTATTTTTCTGCATTTAAACCCATGGATCATGGGTTGTAACCCTGGGGATACAAGGGGGTTATTTGATTTTTTAGTACTGGTAAGTTCCAGAAAACAGATTTGAGAGTGGTTGAAATTACGTTTTCTTTACTATCAGCATTTTATGAATAATGTGTAAAGTAATTATTAATGAACTAATATTAAAATCATTATTTTGATTTCAGAACTATATCCAGACCCTACAGAACAAATTGTCGCCATCATTACGTAACCTGACTCCAGTTCCCACAGAGCCACAAGGAGAGCCCTCAAATGAACCTGAGAGCACTAACACAACATTGACCCAGATTCCAGAAGTTTGACCTTGATCTTTGACCTTTGTGACTGTGTTTATATTCAGCCATGCTTGGCTTCAGCTTTCTGCAATGCTGGTGCAATAAGGGAGTTAAAAAGTTCCTTACAATGAACTTTTGAAAGCATACAACATCTGGGAATATGCATTTGTGTCAATTGTTCAAGATGTATTTAGATATACATCGATGACCTTGAATGACCTTAACCTAGGTAGTGACTGATTGCATAAATTTGTGTCATATCAATTTTTAGGGGGGTCATTGTTCAGATGAGAGCAAATGTGAAAGATGGTCAAGCTCAAAATATGATTATAAATGTTATATCAACCTTGACCTTGCACTGTGGAACCTTTGCTAATTGTCTTAAGTGAAAGTTTATTACATGAAAATGTTTTATGCTGGCATTAAATTGATATGTCTGGCTGGCTCAGTTATTTTCGGACATGAGTTGGATATGTTTCAGATACTGACAAAATATTCCAGTCTTTTTGTTTTTCGCACACAGGAATTTTATGTTAGACAAACTAAGAGAGCGAACATTTCTATGAAGGAATTGTGTGACTTTGTGTTCATAATATCAGTTGATGATGTAAATTATCATTGTGGTTGTTTTGTTTTTGTCACTGAATGAAAAAATGAATTATTTGGTGGTTAACATAGTGAAACTGTTTCTTGTTTTAGTAGTTGGTTATATGTTGCACAGTAGTACACATACTTATAGTAATTTTTAATGACTTTCTTAAAGGAACTCCACAGAGGTCCAAAAACCTGAAAACCTAAAAATACTATCTTGGATCAATTGGAGCACCAAACCCCCCAAAAAAACAATAAACAATATAAAAAAGATAATAATGTACTCAGAATTGAATTAAAAATCAATGATAAATGCAATTCTGAACCCAGTTTTAGTTGAAAGCGTATAAATGCTTTTCATTTTTAGGTCATTTTGTAATAAAAAATTATTTTTTCGTGAGCAAATGATCTGAAATTTTGCACACAAGTTATTGGCCTAGATATACATACATGTACATTAAATGGAACATTAATCTTGAGAAATAAATACCAGTCCAGTCATGTCAAAAAACCTCAGTGGAGAACCTTTAAGATTTAGATTATTAAAAAGCAAGTGTTTAAACATTTGCATGTTTGTTATAGAATATTCTGAAAGATGAATAGAAAATATAATTTTATTTCAATGAAATATATGAATGTATCTCACTGTAAAATGATACAGATTTTTATCATACAATAGAAAGAAATAAAGAATCTTTCAACACAAAATTGAAAATGTTGCAGGCTCGGTTAAGACATTTTAGATGTTAAAAAAGCATAGAATAAAATTTTAATGTTGTGAAATTTAATTTTAAGGAATAGGAATATTCAGACATACATGTATATATGTCAGATATTTTGTTTTATTTGAGTGTATACATGTATATCATGTCTTGCAGAAAATACATCCAGTGTTTCATTCTGAGTAAATAAGAAATTTAACATTTATACAATAAATGAAAGTTAACAGATTTGTTAATGAAGAAACATAATGAAGGAACAACAGTAGTTTGTTGTATATAAATCTGCACTAGTACTACTTTATGTAAATGCAATATATATACAGAAATGTTTGTTGTTTTAACATACTTTTACATTTATATTGGACACAACATGTTATTTATGACTGCAAAGGTTATGGTAATAAAGATTTTATATACACATACATACAGTTAATTAATTAGCTATGCATGTAAATTGTCAAAAAATGTCAATTATTGAATAAAAGTGTTAACGTTTTATGTACTTTGAATAAACAGCTGCGCATATGATATACTATCGAGTATGGTAAATGTATAATTTATGAACTGGAGGGATAATGTGAAAATTATGCTATGTGTATAAATTATGATTAAAGAAAAACTGTTTGACCACTTTGTTGATTCCCTGAAGAAAGTCAAGATGAAGCTCTGTTATTTTTGCCAGTTTTCTTTTTTTTACATTAGTAAAGAGTTACATCTTAGTTAACTTATATGACAATAATAAACAGCAACTTTTATCAGAAAGTACACAAATTGAGTGAATTTTTATTGTTTTCATCATATATTTTTAAAGTATCTATTTTCTGTCATACAGTCTAGGTGGAATTCAAAGGTTATTTTGTAAATATATGGTCCAGTTGTGTACCAGTACATGTATTTGAGATTTTTTAGACATGTGTAATAATTTCTCCATTTTTTAAATATATATTTTTTCACATTATTCAAAATTATGTCCTAAAACAACTTTGTTACATAATTTTTCTTTTCTTAAATTTCTGTTTTAAAATTTTGTCTTAACAATAATAAGAAAATTGATTTTACATCATGATTTTGGTTTTATACTGATGTGTTTGGATACTTTTGAAATGTATTTTTAGCTTTATTTTTTTACTCAATTCTAAGAGTGCTAGCAGCTTAAAGCTTGAACCTGTAACCTACAGGAACCAAAAGTGATTAGCCTTTTGTCACCGGTATTAGAGCCAGGCCAGCCTGTACATTCGTTCATGCAGTCATACCATTTGCCCCTCACTGCTATTGGCTCAAATCCCGCTAGGGACTTTGAATTCATTCAAGTGAGGAAGGTATCCATCTAGCTTATGAAACACGTTGTTCTGCTCAGGTGCGCCTTTGTGTCTGAAATAATTCATGGAGGGGCACCCGAGGTCTACCTCTACCAGTAAAGCTGGAACGTTGCCATATGACCTTTACTGTGTTGGTGGGACATAAATTCCAACAAAACTTTTAAATTTGAAAAGCAAGACTTCATTAACATACCCATGTTCTACATGTCTGTAAAATAAAATAAAAAATCTACATGTATATCATCTTCCTCACAAACTTTGGTATTTGTTTTACATGGTCTAAATGTCATTTTTGTCACTTTAGTGCAGTAATGAATTCAATCCTATTACAATTCAACACGAGTTAACTCGTTACTGCAATAAGTTGATGATTATAATTTGCAAGGTTTGACATTCAAGTACACTTATTTATATGTTTTTGTCATAGATTGTTGATAAAAATTAGCTATTGTTAGGTGATAGAAATACCTGTATATCTTGTTATATTTTGTATTTTTAAGTCATGTTTGTTATATGCTGCACCATTGACATTGTCCGGAAATGGTTCCAAGTAGTGAAATTGAAATAAAAAAACAAACAAACAAGTACAAACTTTTGTTTATTTTGATTTTATTCCCTCGATCTTTGATTTTAAAATTTTGTTTTGTTGTTTTTGGTTTTGTCCAGATTTAAAAGTATTTTAGTGTCACAGTTCAGAACTGTTATGTAGGGGGAGATGAGTTTGCTGCCGGATAGCTCGGGTGCTAGAGATGGGGAACAGTATTCGGAGGGATCCGGGTTCGACTGCAGGTCAGACTGCACATTTTTCTCCCCCCTGTGACATTTGGCACCCAACGTGGGGCCTTGACTGAATATAGCTCAAATTCTATTCACATTTCTCTGTAACTCTGTGAAATTCGAGGACGAATTTCAATATAGCAAGGGAGTTTGTCACAGTTCAGAACTGTTCACTATGTAGGAGGGAAGATGTGTAAGCGGCCGGATAGCTCAGTTGGTACCAAATATATCAAACATTAGCCAATTGGGTATATATAATAAGCAAGTGAATAAAGGGAGATAATTAAAACATTAAGCAAAGTAGCATTTTATTTCTTGGACAATGCACTCTTTTTCTGGTCTTTAAATTATTAAATCCTTCCAATATTTTAAATTCAATTCCCAGAGTATTTTCAAAGGAGGTTATTCAAGAACTAACTAATGTAAATACATTTTCCATATAGTACTTTGACAATGCATTCCCACTCACTAAATCAAAACTATGTGAAGTTTCAATGAGATATTAGACATGTGTTAAACATCATAAAGGGAGATAATCAAAAAAATTAAACAAGGTAGTTTCTTGAATTCTGCAATTCCTTTTACTAGCTATATAAAGTTTTAGTTATTGGGTGAGGGAACTTACCAGCCTGCATAACTCAATCAGTTAGAGCGCGAGACTTGTAATCTCGACATTGTGGGTTCAATTCCTGGGCTGGCCAACTAAAAATTGATAATCAGTCTTTCAGATGAGACTTTAAATCGAGGTCCCGTGTATGGGTGCTTGGCACACTAAAGAACCAGGAGAAGCTTCTGGAATTGAAGCATCTTTCTGTATCTGTAATTGCACTATCTCCAAAATCTAAAATGACTAATACTCTTCTGGAGGACTCGCCCATATGGGCAACCGGTGCCGGGTATAAATAAACACAAATACACACACAAGTGAGGGAACTTAGGCATTCCATGATATAAACAACAAAGAAACATTTTTGAAAACCCAATTTATTCTAAAAACTTTTGAGAATGAAAACCAACAAGTAACATGAAACATCAAATTTCAGCTAAATTACAATAAACATGTAAAAACATTGATTGTTATGATAAAGTTTAATACTGGTGGACATACAACGTGTAAACATATATAGTGGCAATACATTGTGAAATTTTGTTCAGATATAAATATACAAAAATAAATATTTGACTAAATTCCCTGACTTTTTTCTTTTGAGCTAATTCAAATAAAAATGAGCATTTGATATACATATACAATGTACACATCCAGTCACTTTTAAATTTTGTCACATTCACTACCCCTCCTTGTTCAAATTTCTTTGATAAATTTTTTGTCACTCACTTGTTATAAAATTTTGTTCCACAAAACAACTGATTACAGAACCAACACAATTTACATAATGATTTTTCATAGTGAAATGACCAAACAAATCTTACAAGTAATAAAATAACATAGTTATATAATGGTATCATTCATTAACAAGACTGCAGGATTTTTTTCTAGCACACATCTTTTACCTGTCTTGTTCTATTTCTTAAACATTCAATACACAGTCATTACACAGTCATTTAAATTAAGAGACAAAAATAAATAACAATCTCTGAGCACTTTTAAATATAAAGAACATTTTGGTACATGTAAATAAATAAAAAAAAGAAACAAGTTAAATTTAAACCCTTATCCACCCTTAATTTCTTAAATGAACCTGCCAAGCTTCCAGATTTGGAACTGTCCATTATCAATTTCAGGGTAATCAGGCTGAATTTTTGATATTGGTTTGCCAACAGTATAGAACATGGTCAGACAGCATGTACATTTAGCCTAGCCTGTCTCTATCCTGGCCCCACAGGCTACTCGCCCAAGTTCAAGCACCAGCCTGGTTCTATATTTGCAGCAATGACAACACGCAGTTCCGGCACTGGAAGGGTTCAACAAAAGCTAAATAGTCTGGCTTGTAAAAAGAGCCTCTAAATGTTGGTAAATTCAGCAACTTTGGTCGCTGATTTTAAACAAGGAATGTTTAAGAAAAATTGTCTATAGCTGTATGTGAAACAAAGTTAACTCCCTTTGAAATGAAATGCCATTTTTCTTGTCAAGTAATGAAAATAACATTTTATGTAGTTTTAACAAGTTTCTCTACTAATTAACAATGTTCACATAATACAAATGTATAATGTATATGTAATATCACATATTTCAACATCATGATAATACTTAGTAGTTTCCTGTTTGGAAATTGTCATAAATCTTAATGTAAATAAAAGTCTAAATTAAACGTAAATAACAAAATCAAATAAAAATCATCCAAATTGAAGTGAGCAAGTGATTTTGGTTTAACAACAAATCAATAATAATAGAGTCATATACCCCTAATTATATTTACAGAAAACAGGTTTAAATTTTAGATATAAATCTACATCTTCAATATCTATGTTCACAAATAAAGCACATGACTCAAATAATTTAGCACATTGGTTTTGACATTCATGAAAACAGCACTGGCCTAATGCAGATCATTCAACATTTCATTGACAAATCACAGAGATTTTAAGGTCACTTGTTATGACATCACATTTTTTCTGCTTTTTCTTGGTTAATATATATCTAAAATGCACCATTGGCTAATAGTCTTAAATCTATTCTTAATTATCTATTCTAATCTATTCTATCTTTAATTTAATCCAAAACTGGATTGCATTCCAGAAAATAAAACAGAAATTTATAACCACTCTACGCTTTTTGAATAGGAACACTTTCATTGGTCAATTTGGAAACTGAGATTTGAATCAACCAATCAATTACTTGATTTAACTGACTGGTCTAAAAATTCAACTTTTATCTGAAGCAAGTAAAAACTGAGGTTTAAATGAACAAAACAATTACAATTTCATAGGCTGGTCCACAAATTAATATTTTATTGTCTAAGACAGGGGTTTGATAAATGATCCATCAGAGAAGCAGTCCAGTTTAGTTGCCATGGTAACAATGCAGGTATCATAATTACAAGGCCATCAAGGCAGCTGTCATCAACAATGTGAAGAACAACACTGCCCAGCCCGTTTTAACTATTTGTGGTAACTGGAAGCCCATCACCATGTCCCATGCCTACAATAAATAAGTTATTATATACAACTGTTATATTTCTGTTATGAAACATTAGATACACCTTGAACCTGCCAAATTTTTGAACTGCTTTTGCTGTTCTGAATTTGGAACAGTCCATTCAAAAGTAAAAGGATTTCAAAATTACCAACAGTATAGAGCCTGGTCAGACTGCTTGGATATGCATGAAATATGAGTGTTAAGTATCATGAAATATGAGTGTTTACCAAAACATCCAGGGTATCAGAAAATAAAGGAAAATGCTATGAGAAAGAGTACGAGTCTTGCCTTGACAGAAGGAAGATAAAAAGGCAACTATTTGTTCCATCAAAATATTTCGGAGTTATACTTTATCACTAAGATTTAAACATATCTGCTCTTCATATCAGAAATGCATATTCATGATTAGTTTGCAAATCAATTTAAAATGTGCTTATTGATTTTTTCAAAGACAATTTTTATACCTTTGGTACATGTACTTACTAAATGTCTGATACTGGCTATAGTATGGTAGCTAAAGGAAAAGGCAAGAGTAAATTTAGTTAGATTTATCAATCCCGTCCCGACTGGTCCCCAACTCTGTACCATCTGCAGGTAACCAGCAAAATCGTTACTACCAAGCAGGTAAATAATTGGTCCCCCATATATCACTGAAAATAATGAACATATAAATCTAGTCAAATATACAAAATTTGGTAAAATATCTAATACATAAATACATGATGTAGGTAGTCAATTATATTCAAAAGATTTCAAATTTCAAACTAGAAACGTGTTCATAGCACAATGATGCCCCTACATTCCACTGTTCTGTCAGTCTACAAACCGTTTGTGAGACAGCAGGGAAAAGTGGCTGTCAAACAAGGACTAATCTATATCCCCCGCCCCGCCCTGCCCCCCTTCTAAAAAGCAGGGGCATAAAAGTTAATTTTCAAGGTAAGTAGTAGAAGTAAGTCAAGCTTGCACTTTCTGAGTCAAGCTGATAAGTTGACAACCTAGCTATACATGGGGGAAAAAGTAACAACTACATGTACTTCTCGATGTTATATTTCAGCACCAATGACACACCTGGGTTATCAAACAGAATTTTTTTATTTGTTTTTTACATCGCATCAACACAGTATATGTCATATTGCATCATTCCAGCTTTACTGGTGTAGGAAGACCACAGGTGCCCCCTCTGTACATAAATTCAGGCACAAACGGGCAACTGAGTAGAACCACTGACTTTCTGTAAGCTAGCTAAATAGCTTCCTCACATGAAAGAATCCAAAATTCCAGGCAGAAAATCGAACCCACAGCGGTGAGGGGCAAGTGGTTTGAAATCATTTGAGTTAACCACTCGGCCATGGATACCCTAGTAAAAGAGATAATTAATTAGCTAGACAAATTAAACTGAATATATTTTTCATCAGTTTGATTTATTTCTTTTTTAACTAATTTAGTCAGATAATGAAATGCAGCTTAAAATTCATTAATACAACATCTTGTCTATATGTTATATAATTTACCTGCAGTTAGAATTGTTCCAGTTATTCTGTTAGATATAGACATCACTGCCGTCACTGGTAATCTGAAATAAAGCAAAGCATTTTATTTTAGCTTGTTAACTAAGCTTGAAACTTATTTTAAAATTTCTCAATTCTCTTTCTTGATCAATACGTACTGATGTTAAAATTTGAGATATACTTGTGTCCTTGTCAAGATCAAACCCAGGCCAGAGTAAGGATCAAAACCAATGATCTATGGGTTGAGATACAGATACCTTTTAGTAACCACAAGGAAGGTTTCCCTTAATGCCAAAGAGGTGGCAGGCCTGATATTAATTTTGCTTAAGAAGGATATATAGTTGACAGCCACAAAATTATTTTTAGACAATTATACAAGTTGAAAGAAGTTGATAAAATGGCAGTCGACAATAAAAAAACTTATGGTATTTTAAGTGGGAAGATAAGGTAGGTCTAGTGAACTTTCTACAGTTGAATTATAAGTTTACAGTTGACAGTCACAAAACTTACTTTTGTCACTGTCAACTATAACCTTATTGAGTTACAGATAGTTGACTAAAGTACTTACTGCATTTCATTGTAAACTGTTGAATATTGCGGCAATTGATTACACGTATTAGAAAAAAACAAAAACAAAAAACAAAAAAACTTACTTATAAATTGTAAGATGAGGTGACAGAGGGCGGTTACGATCCCTGTTTTTCTTCCAGTATTTCTCCATCTGATCAGCAGCCTTCGTCTGTGAAGATGCTGGTATTATACTGTACAACGATAGAAAAACCGTCATCATTAAATGAGCCGCGTCATAACAAAACCAACATAATGGGTTTGCGAGCAGCATGGATCCAGACCAGCCTGCGCATCCGCGCAGTCTGATCAGGATCCATGCTGTTCGCTATCAGTTTATTTACTTGTTATAGGGTCTGTAAGCGAACAGCTTGGATCCTGATCAGACTGCACGGATGTGCAGGCTGGTCTGGAACCATGCTGGTCGCAAACACACTATGTTGGTTTTGTCGTGACGCGGCTCAAATGCATTCAATATCAAATAATTATTTATATATCTTTGTTTATCATCAATTCAAGGTAATATTTTTTTTTACATTTCACCATAGTTCATTTTCTACGAGATGCTGTGCTTTTTTTTATTTTAAGCATATTTTAAAGTGCACTATACCATTCTCCACCATTTCGTAACTACAGTCAAGTAACCAGTTCCGGTACAGGACCAGTTCCGGTTTCCTCAATGCTCTTTTCATTGAAATATTTCTCACATTTGAATTTTTTGTTGATAATATAATGTATTATGTGTTTCTGACAATCTGTTGGCAGCTCATAATTTTTATGAATAGCCAGTTTTCTAGAAAAATGTAATTGAACGAGTCTGAACAGATCCTATGCCGAAACTGGACCACTGAAAATAGTCATATTATACATAATTCAATAGTGATTTTATTCATAATAATATACATGTATACAAATGGAATATAATCGAAGTTGTTCAAAATAATTTTATACCATGATTGAAAGCACTTTGATGCTTGAAGCAATCTTGGAACTGTATTCAACCTAAAACAGAACAAAGCAATTCATGTATAATTTAATCAGCAAATATTTATTTTCCATTTAAATAATAAATAAATTACAAATCATTTCTACCAATTAAGCCAATCTTTATAGACTAGATCCTTATATGAGATAGAATCTTTACACTCCCAGACAGCTCCGTCAGTAGACCTCTGAAAAGCTATATTAGGGTCTTTTGTTTTCTAGCCATGATCAGACTGCACATTTTTCTCATTCTGTGGCATTTGTCATTGTAATTAATGTGGGTAAATGATTTTATATTTATGTGTCAATTTACATTTTGGTCTCTAAGCTCATTGTGAGAAAAATGTCATATATTTGCAGACTATCTTCTCTCTTATAATGCAAACAACCCTGTGAAATAAGAGCTGTTGGCAGCTCAATATGCTTGACTTTTCTTAGTGCTCGATTGTGAAAAACAGGATAATGTATAACTTCATAAAGGGCCATAATTCTATCAAAATCTATGTTAAGAGTTCTGGGCCTCGGACAGTAACCTCTTTTTTAGCTCACAAATATGTGTGTGAAGTTTCAACCCATTTCCATTTGTAGTTTTGGAGACTTGCACACAACAACTTGATCAAAGACTTTATGTGTGACACCCATGACAACTTGCCTGAGTAAAATTGCTTTCCCTATTCTTCAAATAGGTCAGCTAAAATGTGTGTTGATCGACATATTGATCTGCCCCACACCTGTAAAGGGGACAATTTCTAATTTACTAGTATATTGGTCTACTCATTTACGAGTTTTTATGTTAATTTACCCAGTATTATGTAGACGATTAATCAGAATGAAAAAGGGGAAATAATTCTCACAAAAGTGACAGTTACCAAATATTTTTCTTTCTGTTTATGTTATACATAATGCACAACAAACAAACAAAGTTTAAATGAAATCTCTTTATTATTTTTCTAAAAATATGATTTTTTATGTCTGTTCTATATTGATATATATTGAAACAGACTTTAGTTGCTGATAAGCTCCGCCTCCATAGCATGCTACATGTAACATCACTTGTGTATTAAATCTTGGAATGTTAAGACGTACTCTTGTTGTCTCTTCTAGTTCAAATTATACAATAGCATATTTTACTGGACATCTCATTTGAGATATAATATTCTTGATAATATACTTGTCACTAAAACAAAACATGCAATGTCATAAGCCCAAATAGTGTTAATGTCCCTCTACACTGACCGAGGGTAATCTATGAATAGCGTCTGCATGACCTGGAGTCAAAAACAGTATGCTGAGAAATTGCCTTGAGGCATAGGGCGGGGCCTATAGTGTTTTGACTGACAGGAAACTCGATCAGCAGGAGTCTAGGCTCCAATATACAAGGATTTAGTGACTTACATTTATCTTAAGCCCGTTTTTGTTAATATTTCACCCTTAAGCCCGTTTTTGTTAATATTTCACCCTTAATATGCTAGCTTAAATAAAAAAAATAATTTTAAGCCAGGGTGTCTGGGAGGGGGGGGGGGGCTTCACCCCCTTAAACCCCCCCCCCCCCGTAGAGCCGGGCCTCGATTAGAGGGTTGACATTTGCTTCCAGATGTGAAATTTTAAGGTGGACATTTGCCCATCCGCTGTGATACAAATCTGTCCGATTTCAGTACATAGAGGTCAAAATGACCTACCTTTTAGTATTACATAATTCATAATTGAGTAACATCGTGCATGTATCTTAAATTTACATCAAGGGGACTAAACCTGTTCTTTATTTTGCCGAGTTTGACAAAATTTTAATCCGCTATTGTCGTATTGATTTTATAAAAAAATTGCATATTTCTAAAGTCTGCAACTGATAAACATTGCATGTCCTCTAAATATTTACCTCATACTGCCCGCCATGGCTTGTTTACCTTTTTCGTACTGGTACCACTTAAAGAAAACGGTTCACAATGAAACCAATTTCACAGGCTGGAAAACAGCACGTAACCACGTGTATTTTTTTTTGGAATTACGGACATTTCGGACCACGGACGTTTCGGACCAGACACTTCGGACCAGATTTTTTGGTCATTTCGGACCAGATTTTGTGACATTTCGGACCATGTGATGGTCATTTCGAACCATGATGGAGACACTTCGGACCAGCACATATATTCCTTTTTATATGTAATTTTTTGTTATTTCAGGATGTATTTAAATATATTTTCTAATAATAAATGCAACAAATATTTGACATTGTTATTTTTTATGATATTCAAAATGCATGCAGTAATGACCTGTCCGACGAGATTTTCAGATGTTCTGTGGTACTAAAATAATTTTATGGTACTAAAAATATGGTCGTAGAACAGAGCGAACCGTGAGACCAGCATATTTTTTAATATGGAAATTTAAACAACAGTCCACCAGAATACCAATTACTTTACTGTATCTTTCTGAAGAACTAGGCCCTATACTTTTCATCTTGGAAGTCTTATAAATCCATCTTTCCAGTTTTCATATGCTTGTTAAATGGACTTCGTGGGTGTTTGAAGATCACTTGCCCAATTTTATAAAAACTCGTTTACAACCAATTATCAGTTCGTGAAGTACAAATGTAATATGGAAGAATTATACCAAAAAGGGAAAACGGCCAATGAAGCTTATCTACTCTTTACGTTATTGAAAGATATTCCGTTCTGAAATACTATGTACAGGGACCATTTTTCCTATCCATATTATGCAAAAAAAAAGATAAAAAACATATTTTTCTTTATTACTTACTTGCGAAAAAAGAACACTGAATATAAATACAACAGATATTTAAGCTGAATACCAAAAATCAGTTTAAAACCTATAATGGGCTTAATCTCAATAAAATTAAGATAATTTTGTAAAGCAAATATTAAGTTTTAAGTTTTAGCGTTTTTATTGTCACATCCGTGTTATTTGTGCCGTGTGGCGGCTGTAAAAAGTCTCCCCGTACATTTAATCAATGATGTTATATTTTCGATCCTTGAAGATCGTTCAGCACGACATCATTGTTGTGTATACATGTTATGTGGTACTTTTAGTTTCTTCTATTGGGCCATTTTCAACTTGGGTGGTTCCAGTATTCCTACTTGAATACTGTATAATCACCCTTAGGATATGTTGCCTGCTTTTTAAATTTGTCTTTTGACGTCTTATCTGTGATATGCAGGCTTCATAACCTCAGATCCCCTTTCAAAATTCCATTCTATTTAGTTCCGCCCATTGTTTTCTCGTTTAGGGCAAAAGCTTTCTTTTACTTGGGGACCATACGCCGCTTTTCATGGAATGACACTACTGTGTCACATTGAAGGTTCCATGATAACCGCCGTATGAACACATCTGCGGATGTTTATAAATTCAAAATTTCACCATTTTCGTGTTAAATGTTGAATTCTGCTTAAGCCGGTGCTAGGGGGCGTGGACGGTAAATTGCACTGTACAGTACCGTCCATGAACAGGCTCAATCAAACCGAGCCTGCAACATTTTCAATTTTGTGGTGTTGGACTTTCTTTAGGGATTCTGTTTTTCTCTATTTAATTGCAATTTAAAAAATAATAAACTGCTGATACAGAAAAAAGTGAATGCATACTTAATTAAATACACATAAAGAAATATCGTAAGGAAATTTAAATGAAGATATTTCAGAGAGTGAAGTTTGACCACGCGTAGTTTTATAAGACTGTTTTAATTTTTATAATAAAATGTAAAATGTCCATGTAACTGAATTGCTTTTAATTTGCTTAGTTATAAACAATTTAAGAACACGGGTCAATGCAAAGTGACGTTTACAGAAAGCAGCCTCTGACAAATCACGACACACAAGATTAATTATATAAAAAATTGTCCAGTAGGCCAACAAACATAAAGCAAGAGAGTGCACAGAAAGACGAGGAATATTGTGTGTGTGCGCGTGCGCGTGTGTGCCTGTGTATGTGCGTGTATGACAATTAACCATATCAATTAACAACTCGGCAAGCAAACCCTAAAATTGTTTGAATAATGTGAATCCCAAAAGCTGCAACGGAACGAAGATGCAAGGAAGTTAAATTCGTCAGTTTTAATATGCAAAGAATAAGAAAATGGGAAAGGAAGGTAGTTGGATAATATGACTGAAAGACTAAAGGAAAAATACATGATAGGACATACAGAGCAAAAAAGTGTCACCACATAGAATATAAAACAATAAAAATATATGTTTTTTTATTATTTTAGCGTTAAAACTTTAGTTGTGAACATCACAATTTGATTAAATATCAATAATTTCATGTGTGATTGACTATATATTCATGATTGACGGTAATTTATTGTTTTGAATTTGAATATGTGATCAAATATACATTAAAACAGTAAATTCACTTCTGATTAAACATATCAATTCAACCATACATCTCGTCTTACGTCGATCATAAATAGATGAGCTAGAAACTGTTTTTTTTTTCACTAATTTAAACAACGTATAGAAGGAGTATTTATAAACATCTGAATACTATGTAATTGGCCTACTATAAAGTATAGAATGTAATACTAGGTAAAGTTAGATGATTATTGAAATGGCAAAACATTCTTTAGGTTCAAATATTTTGGGAGTCAATTTGCAAAAGGAATTTTAACTTTTCGATCGATCTTGAAGCTGAAATGTTAAAGGATATGAAAAAGACATTACTATTCGCCCCCTCTCTTTCTTTTCTGTATTTAAAAATCTTAGGGTCTTTGTATACTTCTCGGTTCAATCGTAAAAACCGTAAGCCAGTCCGCGCACTTTGGCGCCGTATTCCGACAAATGTCTGATGGAATTTCATTGGTCAATAAAAGTTGTTTAAATCACTGTGATTGGTTCTTAACTGACTGTTACTTAGCATCGAGTGGAAATAGTTGTAATCAAGGTGAAACATTAAACATTTTTATCGTAATGACATTATTGTGTAAAAAAAGTATTTTAGTTTCATAATTATTTAATGATTAATTGGTAATTACAAATTTCCATTTATCAAAACTGATGATTTTGCGGATTTACTTGGTTCATACGTTCGTACCCGTGCCAGTTCGTACTTATTTCTTTTGTGTTAAGTTATGCACTTGTTAATATTTTTGTTCCTGTGTTTATCTGAAGAAAAGCCTTCATGTTTTTAACATTTATCTTTAATTTATTGAATAGACTGAAATGTATTGAATAGTTTGTTCAATGTGGCATGTATTGGCTACTTCTGCCTGATGACACACAGTTGCAGTCGGTGTTTATCTTGCTGTCAGCTACAGGTGATGAGTAATATTATATCTGACTGATTTGCTTATGATATGACAATGATCTGAACATGAAATGGACGGATTTATCCTTTTCCTAATTTTTAACTCTAGGGTGCAATTTTCCCCTAAACAAGTAAATAAAGGACTGTGCATCAAAACACCTGAACACATTCAAATCCATCATTAAAACAACAAACCAGTACTGAGCAATGAGTATAAAGTTTCTTGCTCAAGGGAATGACTTGCCTTAAAGGTAGTTTGAACCCACATGACAAGATTGTTAGATAGCAGTCATGTCTATGTTCCTGTAAGGGGTTTGACATGATATGAATATAATTATATATTGTATTAACTTTAAATTCAAAAGGGGGATGCCCTTGTGTACCATAGTATCTTATATTTCTGTAAGTTTCTTTGAATGAAAAGGACTTAGTTTCACAGACTTATTTTACAAGCATTGGCTGCTGCATCTTTAATTAAAATCATTCATACTGTACCAGTGAGTCAAAGTTGAGTCACTGATCACGGCATTTTGGTTTTCATTAAGGTCAATCCCCCATGATAATAATTTAATTTAAATTTATCTATATAATGGGATTATATCGGCAGAACTTTTACCCGGGTTTGGGTTACTTTATTTATGTACAGATAATCTTTGAATTACTGTATAGTGTTTAAGCATTGTTCCCTACCTCATAAATAAAATGTTTGTGCAGTACAGACAACTGTTACATTGTACTCTTAACTTTAGACGTGAAAGACTACCTTTTGCATAGTAAATCATGTTATATCAGTGTTGTTGGTTCATATCTTTTAGAAAATAAAACTGAAAAAGTATCACTATTAAGAAGTTTGACAAATAAATTTTTACAGTAATTTGTTATACTTCTTTTAGGTTTACTGGAAAACTTTAATCATTCCATTCCCAATGGTTTTAGGCCTTTAAGGAAAAGGGCCCAAAGTTTTGACTACTTGTGAGGAAATTTATGGGTTGTAAATGTTCAACAACAGTTTTAATTTTTTTTTTTTTTTTGCCTCCCATATTGGGGAAAAAAGACATTCTCAGCTTTTTTTGGAGCTGGCCGGTTCACCAAATCCATTTAAAGAAGGGAAAAAGTGTTGGATTCCTAATATATCGCTCAATCAAAGTTATTCTTGAAAGCAGCATGCCTCCTGATTCATCATTAATTTCATGAATTTTTTTTAAATTTAATCAAAAAGTAAAATATTTTCAAGTAAACAAAGAAAGTAATTTATACATGTATTGCAAACGGCACTTTCAACACACATAAAATGATAAATTACCATAAAATGTCAAAATATGGAAAAAAATCCTTTAAAATCCTTTAAATACTGTGTTAGTCATGCAGTAGAAATAATCAAATATGGTGATAAATACTGCATAATCAGTCTGTCATTGCCTGTAACATATAAATTTTTAAATGAAATGTAAAATTTATAAATTTACTTTCCTTATAATCTTCGTACAATTTTCTTAAAGGTTGATTTCCTTGAAAGTTTTTGGCACCTCTGAAGGCATACAGTTTTAAAGATAGAATGTTGCCATTATGTGAACTTGTATTGATTTATCTTGTGAATTTATTTGTAAGGCTTTAAACCAAAGAATATGAATAATGTACGCACCTACGTTTAAAGAAGAATTAGATCATAACAAGATTTTGTAAAGAAATCTTTAGAAGTCGCCCTTCAAGACAAATTAAAGAGTTTGTTTGATATTTCTCTATCTTTATTGATCTGTTGCTTTGAGACAGTGACTTTACCTTTGTAAAAGTTAATGCTCAAGTTTTTCATAAATTGTCAAAAAGATAAGAAAATTGATTTATTTGTCAATATTAAATATATACATTCCTGATCAGGGGAGATTTGAATGTGAAATGAAATATCTGCGTAAAAGGCTATTTTTGAATATACACTTTGATCATGTATTTATAAAAAATTTTTATATATGATAGGTAAAAGATTACAGGATCTTATTTTGATGCTACCGTAGCGTTCATGTTTGTATCAAAAAACTTCCAGCTTTTGTTAAAAAAGAATAAGGATTTATACCAAGTGCATTATTTTGGTATGTGTTATACTAAAGATTTATATTCAGTATCTTGTGAATGCTTTGGTTTTGTATGCTTATAAACGTCTCTGTATAGTTGGAAGTTTCTCTTCTTTCAGTATTTTGCACTTTTGAGAGAATTTTATTTCCAGAAATTTCAGTGTACAATTTTGTATGTGTCTTGGTTATTAGACAAAATTTCTTCTAGAAATTTCAGTACATGAATAAGAGAAATGAAAAAGACATGATTTGTTTTCTGACAGAATTTCAATATATGATACTTGTGGAAGTTGTGGTAATGCACTATGTGAAGATTATATTTGTTTTGTTGATGATTCCCTATGGTAGTGAATAAATGATGATTTGTTTATTATTTGTTTGTATATACGTTCTAGGTGATTATTTTGTTGTCATATCCAATATGTATGGGCCTTGTGTATCAGTGTGTCAGTGATGATAAGTTTCAGGGAAATGTGGTGAATTGTTGGCTCACATGATTTCAATATTCTTGGTAGTTCAATAAGTTATAGTTTGTTTTTCACACTGTTTTTCTCATGTATTTTGACAAAGGTATAGAAAAAATAGCAATTGCAATGTGAAAGTCTTGGCATCTAATTGGGAATTTTCCTTTTTACAATTAAAGGTAACCATATGAAATTTGGGAAATTTGACAAATTTATTAAATTGTTTTAATCTGATGATAATATTGATTTATGAATGGTTGTTTCCCTAAAGTCTGTTGTTATATATGTACATGCCTTAAATTTGTGCTTTTTTGGGATATCTTCATACACATGTATTTTAGGAAATTGTTTCGTCAATTGGGAAAAGGGGAAAAGGCCTATATATTGCACCAAAAAAAACAACAACAAAAATAACAAAGTGTTCAGTTTGAGATCTGCCTTTTAGAGAGTAATTCCATCATATATTAATTTCGATGATTTTTAAAAGTTAACTCACTCCTGTGATTGGTCGTTCAATGTTCATCTATAACAGCTTGCAGAAAATCTGATCCACATAAGTAGAATAAATATATCATGATTGGTTATCCCCAAATCCTTCCGAATTTTTCATGTCATTAATCGTATGTATACTAATTGGTGTGAAATGAAATTCGTTTTGATTTTGCACGATTAAAGTGCAATTTTTGTGGCAGTTGCACAAAGAGCAAGATTTTTAACATTTTAATATCATTCAACCGCAATGCCTTGTCCGATATACCAGAATGCACGCGATATTAGTGATGGTGCATTCAACACTTTTTTCCATCAATGCTAAATATTTATCTATTTTGGGCATTCAACATTTAGTCTTTTAGAACTTAGAAATTTTTGTGGCATTTTGAAAATAAGTGCAGAAAATATGCTTGGTTCAATAACAGTTTTAAAATACACCCTTTGATACCATTATATATTTATACTTATTAATTTTAAATAATTAAAATTTTAAGGTTCATTAAGTGAGATAAGTTGACAGAGAAATTTTATAGTCAACAGTTGAAATGTTAATATTGACACTTGAATTTTAACAAAACAAAACAAAAACTGTGAAAAAAAAACACAAACAAATAAAATAAAAAAAAGAAAGAGATAATATTACAGTTACAGTAGAAAAGAATTAATCTTTTGTGAAAAAAAAAATGTTAATCAATTTTAAGTCGAGAGCTAATTTAAGCACAATTGAACTTAATGACTGTCACTTTACACGGGGTTTAGTTACCTTAAGAAAACTTTTATTTATAAGGTGCAAACATTCGTATCGTATATATATCAAATTTTATTGCATGCTTTGACACTAGCAGGTACAATTTTATTTATATACTATTGAATCGTACAGTCCATTGAGCGATTATTTGCAAAATGAATGGGATATATACATATAGCTTTAAGATATTGAAAAACAGCCGGAACATATACTATTCTTAATATACTATATATCTTAGGTCTACAGTATTGATCCAAATAAAATACCTGTGTCAGTTAAAAACTTGTATACCTAATTAAAAAAGAGTTAAAATCTGAATATTTTTTTCATGATGATGACAATTTTTTTAAAGGCACATTAATTATACCTCAGAAAAGAATAATTTTTTTCCTTCTTAAGAAAGGGCAAAAGTGGATTTTATAATGTTTTATATAACTGTTTAAGAGCTTGTTAAATGCTTCTTACTTGGATAAATTAGTACTGAATGTGATATTTATTATAAATTATGTCAATAAAATAGTAAAATGTGCACAAAGTAGTATTTTGACTTCCATACAACTGTTACTGTACTAATTGTAAAAAAAAAAGCAGAAGCAAAATATATATCAGTTCACAGTATGCAAAAATAATAATAACGCATGGGTGAAAGTTTTTCCGTCTTAAGACAGAATTCCGTATTTTCGTCCTTCTAGGAAGTGGATTTTTGATTTTCTGAATCATGTAAATCCAGTGAGATTTTAGTAGGGGGAGGGGTGTAGGCCTCCTAAAAGTTTTAAACTTGTCTAAATTCCAAATTTGATGCTTAATAGTTTAATATGCTAATTAGCCTGGAGTGTTTCCAGATATTTGTTTGTAAAGCTGTCATCG